AAAAATAAAATAAAATGTGTTATTATAAAATATTATATAACTAATGTAAATCATTATGATTTAAATTATTGTATATAATAATATATATATAAATTTTTTCTCTCTTAATATTTAGGGAGATGGAGGAGGTCCATTAGTATGCCAAGATGATGGATTCTATGAATTAGCTGGACTTGTTTCGTGGGGATTCGGTTGTGGAAGATTGGATGTTCCTGGGGTTTATGTTAAAGTTTCGGCATTCATCGGTTGGATCAATCAAATTATTTCAGTAAATAATGTTTAGCTTTTCAATATTTTATTTATAAAAGTTAAAATATTTATTTATTAAAGAAATATTATAGTACCTTTACGCGCTTGATGATGTAACATTTCATGTTACGTATCTAGCAAAATGTTTACGAAAAAATATTAAAAAAAATTTATTTAATCATATAAATTATAATATCTAAAAGAAAAAATTTTTTGATACACAATGGAAATACAATAATATGTGTAAAAATTTCAAGATATTATATGATAATATTTATATTTAAAATACATAATCATAATAATTAATAATTAATTACTTTTAATAATTGATGATAACTAATCATTTGTTATAGCAATACAAATTTTTATGTAACTGATACAGTAAACTTTTCAATATTTTATCCAATATTTTAAATGTTCAATTAGTAGTTTTTAATTATTTTTTAGATTTAATTCAGTTTGTCATTTTCATCAGTTTGTCACTCTTGTTATAAAAAAGTATTTATATTAATTTTTAATGAAGCTTAAATATTAAAAAATTTTGATATATAAATTTTTAAAATATTAAAACACGAATATAATTTTTCAAATTTTAATAAAAAAATATCAAATTTTATTCAAAAATTATAATAAAAAAAAGAGATAAATAAATATTTATTTTTTAGTTATGTAATTTTTACATTTTAATAAATCTTGCTCTTAATAATTGCTCAAACATAATGATATGATATAAGAAAAATGAAAGTTTATTTCATCTTTATCAATTGTATAAAATATTTTAGAATTAAAATTCAAATATCATTGGTAAAATATATTGTGCCATCAAGTGCGTGGAAAAATACTGTCTTATGTGACAATGATTTTTAATTAATAAGGAAGATTTTATGTATTAAATTATAAAATTATTAGCGAAAATTTAATGAAATATTGACTTAATTAAAAAAATTTAATTAAAAAATTGCAAAACTAATATAATATATATAATTTTAATTTTATAAAATATTAAATATATATTAACTACATTAATAGAATATTAAGCATTAGCGATAAAATTATAAATAATAATTTTTTTAAACAAACATGTGAAAAATTTTAATGAATAATTAAAATTCCACTGGTTGTTTGTTCCTTTTTTTTTTGAATGTTGGATTAATGAAAAAAATAAAATATTGAGAAAAAATTTTAAGCTTTCTATTTTTTGTGAAATATTTTTTTTTCTTTGCTAATAATTTTATGATTTATTGTGTAATTACATATATTTATATGTCATTTATTTACGTTAAATGATAAACTACAAAAGCAAGTCAATTTCATAGAAATTAAAACATTTTTATTAAGGTCAAAATAGTGATATATAGTTAAATTATCATAATTGAAAATATATATGTATATTTAAAATAATTTTATAGTAATAGTTATATAGAAAATTGCAATTTAATATATACATATACATACATATATATATATATATATATATGTATATGTATATGTATATGTATATTTATCAAGTCATGAAATTGGTTCTTTATTTTATGTATACATATACATATACATACATACATATATATATATATATATATATATATATGTATATGTATATGTATATTTATCAAGTCATGAAATTGGTTCTTTATTTTATGTATACATTGTTCAATAGATTATTATATATTTGGGAATAATATTATATTATTGCTTTGTAAATTATTGCATCAGTTATGTCTAATGTATTTTTCAAGTTATAATTATAAAAATGTTTCATAGATTTAAAAGCAAATGAAAATATTAAATGTGAATATTAAAAAATTAGTAACTAAATATTTTAAATCTATAAAACATTATTGTAAAAAATATTTTATAATTCAACATAAAGTTTTTATATATTAGTTTATTATATATCTTTAAAATGGATTATTTAAAATTATTTACATTATTTTATTACAAATTATTTTATTACTATTATTATTGTTACTTAATATAAATTTTTTGTTAATAATTAATATAAAACTTGTTAATCAATAATATATATTGTTATACCTGAGATAATAACAGATGAAATTGCAGATTTTTTTTATTAGTTTCGGTTTTCTTTTCCAATAGAATTTTTCGAAATATATCCTGAATCTTTAAAATTCAGAAAATAATTATCTTTTCTTATCTCACATCCCTACTTCTGATTCGACTATTATATTTTGAGTAATCTTTCTCTTCCGATATTATTTACAATAATAAAGAACAATAGAACAATAATACAATAAAAAAATAATACAATAACATAATAAAAATAAAAAAAAAATTAGGAATTTTTATACATATTTTTATTTTATGACAATATGATTATTCCATAACTAATAACTTAATATTTTTCCGACTAGCTAAATATTGCGCAAAGAATGCAAGCATTGTCTGGCGAAAAATTATTATTATTTCATAATAATAATTTTTTAATAGTAAGAAAATAATAATTAGTTTTTAAATTCATTTTTTATATTAATATATATAAATAATACTATAAAGAAAATTTTGAAATTATCATGATTTTATTTATAAAATAATAATCATATCATATAGAATTGAAATATATATAGTATTACTTATTTACGCTTATAATTAATAATTTAAATTTCATTGTATCACATTTAATAATAATACAAATTAAAACATTTTAAATAAATATTTTTTGATATTTAATATAATATCATAAATAAAATAATCAATTAAATTAAAATAATCAATAATTTTTTTAAGTCTTTGGTAAAAATCTTAAAATATTTCTTATATATAATTAAGAAATAGTTAAATGTTTCATTAATGTTTATAAAATTATATATTATATTATATTTATATTATTACTATTATTTATAAATTCTGTGCTTTTTTATAGAATTTAAACAGAAATTATATTTTAATAGAAAAACTAGCACCACAACTACAACCTTGTTCAGCTAAAGGATTATTAGTAATTCTAAATGCAGAACGTATCAGTTCTGTATGAAATTCTATTGTTGATCCTTTAATGTATTCCAAAGATGTTGAATCTATAACAACTTTTGCACCATCCTTTTGAAATACTCTATAATACAATTAAATTTTATGTTAAATTTAATGTTAAATTTTTATCAATTATACAATTATATAAATATTTCAATTAATATTAATACTTACTTATCATTTTCATTTATATTTGTATCTAAATCAAATTTATATTGAAAACCAGAACAGCCTCCACCTTCTACTGTAACTCTTAAATAAGCATTATCATCTGTAATTTCCTTTAAACGTTTAACGCAACTATCTGTAATGATGATATCGTTTTTATCTTTCACTGTAGAATCTATTAACGTTTTATTTAATAACGAGACTGTAGACGTATTATACCACTGAGAACTATAAACAAAAATTATTCTATAGTTCCTTAAAAACAAAAAAATATTTCAAAAAAATATATGAAATATATTCAGACTTCTTAATATCAAATTTTGGTTAATTTTATATTTTATATTGAAATAGTTTTATATAAAGAACAAAAATTAAATAAATATAATATAGATAAATAAAAAATTTTAGCTTAGATTAGATTTATTACTTACGTTAATAAACGTGAAAAATATCGATTTGCAACAAAATTAGAAGAAACATTCCAAATCGCATGTTTCAATTTCGCCATGTTTTTAATGAATATATGATAGTCAAAACATGTGTGTGTGTGTGTGTGTGTGTGTGCGCGCGCGCGCGCGCGTGTGTATATATGTTTGTATGTATGATGTATGTATAACATATGTATATAACATAATAAAGATACAAACATTAATATGATTAAAATGATGAAATATCATACTAAATAAATAAATAATAATTATTGATGATAAATTAAATATGATATAAAATATGATATAACATAATATGATATAAAAAGCAAACATATGTAAAAATATTTTATTTTAAGATAAGATATTTAAAGATAATATAAATTGATTAATAAATATTTTTTTAATATTTTATAAATTATTATTACTTTACATATTTCCAAAACAATGTACATCAGTGATCTTATGAAATTATAACATAATGCAATTCAAATTCTTTAATTAAATTACAAACAAATTTCTATAATTTCTAATTTTAATGAATCAATTAGCAATCAATATAAATAAATATAATAATAAAAATATATAATAAAAACAATGATTAATTTATTTTCACAAAATTCGTAATTTCGAATATTATAAACTAATATAAAAAATGTAAGAAAAGATATAATAAACAAAACTATATAAAATTTTAAATAACATTTTTTTATTTCGATACAAGTTGTTGTTCGTTCTTGGATATAGATGATTTATATTTTCATTGATGTTTGAATAAACATTTCTGTATTTCCATTCGGCCGTCCCGTCGAAATAAGTACATATGTGCAACATAAATATCTACGTTGAAATATATTTTCTGTGAAAAAAAAAATTAAAGGAAGAGGAGGGATGCAAGAGAAGGACATTGATACAGCAATGGAATATTTTAGATTTTTTTTGTTAAAAAAAAATAAATTTTTTCAGTTGATTTAATAATTTCATTTATTATATTATATCATTAAAGAAGATTTTAATTTTATTATTTAAGATACAAAGAAAAGTTTTAATTTAAAGTATTCAACAAAAAAATTATCCAATTCATATGTATATTAATAGTAAATTGATCGTGAGTATATACATATAAATGATAATGTATATTATGATTTTACACGACATATAATTTTTATAAATGTTTTATAATATATAAGAGTAAATTAAAGTAAATAATTTTTATTTCATAAATAAAATAACTTTGATTTAGAAAATTCCTTAATATATTAGTTAATATATATAATAAAAAATAATGATTGTTTGAAAAGTGCAAATTTCATATGTACATGAAATTAAAATTGTTAATAGTTCAGATTAAAGCATGTTACTGTTGGAATGTCAATAATCGTTAATTCATAACCTGACTTTTGTATCACTTTTGTTTTCCTTTTTTACTATTCTGAAAATTATTAAACCATGTACTGACTATTTAAAATAAAGTAGTACTTATATTTAAAATAAATTATTACCTTATTTACAAGTTGAAATTTTAATTGTTGTATTTCTTCTGTTTGCGAAATAAGCTTTTCATTCATATTAGCAAGATGTTCACTCATAGTACTGAGTTGTGCTTTATAATTTCCTTCTTGTATTTCTTTATCTTTCTGTAAAATATTAGAATTTAAAAGTGCTTCTGTAAGCGCAGATTCGCATTTCTCTCTCTTTGATTCACTTGTATCCAAATGAACTTGTAGAACTTCGTTCTAAAAAAATTTTTAATTAAATATGTAATAGAAAAATAATAAATTTTTAAAAAAAATTATGTAAATATATTTAATTACAGTTGCAGCCATAGCTAAATTTTTTACATGATAAATATGTTTTTCCGTTATTAATTTATCAATTTCTTGTAGGAAATAATCTTGGATTTTTGCTTCTCGAGCTTCAATTTCTTCTGGTATTGAAAATGGTATTGTTAATCTCCCAATCTATGAAAAATATAATATAATATAATTAGATTACTTAAAAAAAAAAAAAATTATTTAAAATATATATTACCATATGATTTATTTCTACAGGTTGTAAAGATTCATATTCAATATTATTCGTATATTCTTTTTGCAATATTTCATCATATTTTATTTTAAGTATGTGATATTGCGCCCTCCAATGATTAATTTCTTTTTCTAATACTTCACAAGATTTTGAAAAATCAAAATTATTACCCTCCTCTTGTATTTTATGAGATCGGCTTTCATTAATAGATTTTGATGATCTACGCGATGCAGATGGCGATGAGAGTGGAGATGGTTCTATTTGTGGAAGATTCGAATGTCCTATCCTATTATCAGATTCGTATCCATCCCGTTTACCTTCATTACTAGACCATGAAACGCTTTCCTCTTGTTTTTGTTTATCACTTAATTTTTTTTGTAAATCATTCCTTTCTCTTTCCAATTTATCTACAATATTTTGATATTGACATTCTAATTCAATTTTAGATTTTTCACAATGATCTAATTTAGATTCTAATTGTTGTATTCTTTCATTTAAAGTTTCAATTTCACTATCTTTATCGCTAATTTGTGATAATAACTGAGCATTCTCAACTATTTTTTTTTGGAATTCCTCATCTAAGATATGATTCGGCGATGCAAGTACTTGGCTATTATTTTCCAACAATTTATTCTTCCCTTTCTTAGATTTATTTTGAGCTTTGTCAAGTTCTTCTTGCAACACAGTTATACGTTTAGTTAATTGTTGATTTCGAAATGATAAACTATCTAATTCTTGTTCAGCTCTTCGAAGTTCTACTTCTTTCTCTTTTAGTTGCTCTCGAATATCTGCATTACGTGTTTGCTCATCAATCACAGCTTTTTTTAATACATTTGCTTGAGCACGAATCTAAAAAATTATAAGATTTTGTCGCAAATATTTAATTACAAAAAACAAGGAATAAATTTCTAAAGCAGATAGAAGCAATAAGGGTAATTATTATTTAGAAAAATAAATACAAATAATATTGAAATATGAAACATTTCTCTTACTTTTGAGTATTCTGTAGCAATTTTTTGATATTTTATTTGCAATTGTCCATTGACACTCTCCATAACGTTTTCCATTCTTTCGATCGTCAATCTGTTATTACAACTTTCTATAGTAATCATTAAAAATTACTTATTGTTAAAATATTTGTTGTAATATTATAATATTTTCTAACAAGAAATATATACATATTGGCACTTTTATATAAATGTCAATGTCAACCAGAAAATATTGAAAATTTTTAACAAATTTATAAAAAAATAAAACTAATTATTTGATAAAAAAAATTTTTGCAAATGAAAAATAAATGAACTTAACGCCCCCAAATAATATACACTTTTATACGAGATTCTGTATGTACTTTTTGATGACTGTCAATTGTTAAGATATTCTACTAGAGAGAAGTTAGTCGTTAATCGAAATTTGAGTGTGAGATTTTGTACCCATTATTTTATTATTTTACCAACTGATAATACAAATTTTACATTTGTATTTATTATTTTTAGTATATTTTCTATATTTTTAACACATGATAAAAAAATATATTTTTGTTTAGTTTTTATAGATAAGATAGAATTATCGCTTGATATTATTATTTTATTTCGTAGCATGAAAGAAAAACGTAGGATTAAGATTGTTACAAAATTACATTTATATATTTAAATATATAAAAAAATATTTATACGATACTTGGCTAATAAATAAAAAAAAATTATTGAATTAAATTTGAATATTTAGAAATATTTTCAGTGTTGTTTTTAAACCTATCTACATGTAATTTAATACCTGTTGTTTAAATTAGAATATTCAAGAAGATTTGCAAGAATATAATATATAATATATAACATAATATATAAAACAAAATAATTACATATGAATCAAAATATGACACAAACATAGTGATGTAATTCATATAAAATGAAAATAACAAATAATAAATATTAAAATTAATATAAAGATATAATTAATTTTTTTTTTTTTTTTTTTCAGTAGTATTTAGCAAGCAGCGTCATCTCTTTGAAAAGTCTTCAAACGTATCGTATTTCTATATTTTGTATACAATTAACGTTTATATTGTACTTTAATTTTCGCGGAGATTTGAAATAAAAAGCTTTGCCAATCAGAAAGTTGTTAGAATCCAGTTCCAGATGAATCGATGCGCATGAATGATACGCATAGAATCAATCTATAATTGAAAATCATGGTGACAGATAGTATTTTATCGGTTGAAGTACCGATAAAAAAGTAAATAAAAAAATGTAAAATTTTTATTGAATAGTGTATTATGTGTTACTGTCATTAAACTTATTTTAAGATTATTATCAAGGTTTGTTTAATTAATTATTAAGCCAGAATTGAATACTGTTTTAAATTTTAACCGTTTTTTTTTTTGTGCAAATTTGATCGGGACTTCGAAGACGGGATGATTTCGAAAATATACACTTTTTTATATATGTTATAATTGAGAGATAATTCGATAATTTTCATTTCATATAAGCACAGATTTTTTATTTTTATTTTTATTTGTTTTTCGAATGTATTTTGCGTATGTATTTAAATTTTAATATAATAGAAGATGTAAAAAACTGATCTGATCGTTTTTAAAATCGGTCATTTCAGAATATACGATCGATGTGATACAAAATCCCATAAGATTGTTACGTTGTCTATTTTTCATTTCATCCGTGGCTATCACGGATCGTTAATCAAGATTGGTACGTCAATATCGTATTTGCAACGTATAACAATTAAATAGAAATAGAGATAATCTGTTAAAATTTTTTATGAATTTAAATTTAAAAAAAAAAATGAGACAAATTTATTAAAAAATCAACTCTCTTGTCTCTTGAATGTATAATTGTTATATGGAGCGTGTTAAGTAAAAAGTATTTGTGGATAAAAAATTAGGGGCGTCTAATAAGAAATAATAAGAGAAAGACAAATATAGATTAATTGACCGCCGTCGCCATCTTTTCAATAATAAGAGAATAAGAATCGAAGAATCAACTCCATCTCTCGAGTAATTTATAAAAGATATCTTTGGTAATCAAAAGATGGCATTGATGATCAATTCTTATTTTTATCTTCATCCTTCTCCCACTATTTCCTCTTTTTGCGCATCATGTTTTATTTGAGATATTCTGGAGATGGCGCTGATTCTCTAATTTATATACTATTTCTATCCTTTTCTTATCATCTATTCATTCTTGTTTATCATATCAGAGAAAGTCGAATATCTTCTTGCATATATACATACACATATACATACCTTTTACACATGCTCGCAACAAAAAAGAAAAAAAGGAATAATTTTTATTTTTATATGTCGTATTTTTTGTACATACATGCATGTACAGTATACGTATATTAATTTTTTGTCATTTCACTCATAAAAATTTGAGTTAAAAGATTAATTAATCGTTAAAATATTATATTTTGTATATGTTTTAACGAATAAAAATTAATTTTTAAAGTATTAATTCTTAGAGAATTACAAGAGAAACAAATTTACAATTTTGAAGATTTTTGTTCGAAAAATGAAGTTTGATCTTATCGTTATACGTATAATTATATTAGTATTTCGAGCAAAAGGAATTCGAGATATATAATTCGTGTATACAAGCAAGTAAATAAATAATTAATTTAACAACAGAGAAATAAAATGATGGATATTGGATAGATGGATAGATACCGAATCGCAAGAGTATATTTATATTTTATACTTTGAGATGCGCAAAAGGATTGTCGTTGGTCGAAATGGAGAAATATAGAGAAAAGTGAGATCGAAAGATGGGTGTACTCGACTCCGCGTTGTTGCGTATTTCTCGATGAACGGTTTGCGGTGAAACGGAAAGAGGGAATAGAATCGAGAGGGCTTTTTCTTTCGAAGAAACGTGTCGTATTACGTCGGTGGATACAAGGGGAGGAATCTCGTGAAGCTTGGAGCTGCTCCCTTTTACTCGCTTTTTCTCTATCTATCCAGAGAAACGTATACGTATAACCCCGCATTAGTCACGCTCGTTGGAGCTTCTTTCTTAGCGAATCTCTCCATGGTAGACGCGACCGGCATTAACTAGGTCGGCTACGGCTTCAGGTAAGAAGAGACAGAAGGTTACGCCTCTTTTCGATCTCTCGCCTCTTTTCCACCTTCGGGGATCTCGTCGCCCGACCAACTTACTACTTCCTACTCCCTTCCGCACGGGAAAATGAAAGCATCCAGATTTAACGAGCTCGGTCTCGGTCTCGGTCTCGGTACTGCCTATCTGTCACTTACTACCGCCACGTTTTTTTCTAACGTAAATGTTCTTCCGGATCGAACCGATTCTCTCTCTACTCTTGCTCTTCGATGTTTATTGAAACTCGCAACTAACGATTCATCGTTCGATCGTTCGATCATCGAGTTTCGATCAATTATATTAAGCGATTTATATTTCGATTCGTTTTTTCGCTTTCGTTATCTCGTTTCATCGAGACGGGAACAAAAGAGATAAAAAAACTTTCGAAAGAAGACCGAACGAAAACGTTAACGACGATAGGAGAAAAAAAAAAAAAAAAGAAAAAAGAAAAAAAAATTTACAAATACTATAAACGACGAACGATGAAATTAAAGCAGAGAGATGTCGTACACGCATTGTATTAACTGGTGAATTTTAAAGCTGTTTGAACGCGCGTTATATAATGTGACGGGAATTGGAATAAATGAGAGTAGCAGATGGCTAGTTGGCGAGACTTTGGCGAAACAATCGCAACGTTTTCAAAGCCCATATAACCTTTTGCTTCTCGCTGCAACGAGGGTGATCAAAGTTGGAAAGTTACGCTTGTATTCGTTTAGTTTGCTAGCACGTACATATACGTATACGTACAATTTCACTTCTAAGTCCAGATTCAGTTTCCACTATTTATCGTTTCGCCTGTTTTTCGATCCAACTCGAAAACAGATCGATCGATCCTCCCGCCTTGTTTTATACTCCCCTGTTTTACCACGACACGTCTAAGAGTATCGAGTTGATAAACTTTTGCTACCTTCCCCCTCCCCCTTCCAAGCGGTTCGAGCGTGGCGTTGATCACCGGCACCGCCAGCAGCTGGAACGCGGCGTAAGAGAAACGGTCTACGCCCTAATCGGTCGGCCGCATCTCTCGAGTACTTGCGCCACTGTTCTCGAGCACTCGCTCGTTTCCCGCCCCCATTATTTTCGCAAGCACGAGCTTGTTTCTGACGTCCGCCACCTTCTCGCGCTAGACCCCTATTCGCATATATTATACGCACGTATAAGTCATTAGTCTAACCTTTTGTTTGAAAATCCACACTCGCGATCCACGCGTTTTCGAAATCTTGTTTCACTTTTGCGAAAACAGAGATCTGTCTATGCGTAGTTTTTTTTTTTAAAAATGTCAAAAAAAAAAAAAAGAAAAAAAAAAGGGAGAAAAAGGATCGTCAAAACGATATACGTAATCGTTTAAATAAAATTATCATCGTCATGATTATCCGATTAAAAGATTGACTAATTTGAAAGGTTTCTCTTTTCCTGTTTCAACTTTGAGTACGATAATCAATTTTTCTTCGAAATTAATCGATCGGATCGCTTTTCCATTTAAACCTTTTAAACCTTCCTTCTTTTTCTTTTCACGTAAATTCAACGTAAGAAATACCCGAATGTTCCCGATAGATAGGTAAAACAAGTTTCTAATGCGAATATATCGGATCGCGAATATCGAACGCGTTTCGTTCTCGTCGAAGCGATTTTTCGAGAAAAATCTGGAAAAATCTCGATTCGTTCGATTCGTTTAAAATTCGTAAATAAATTAAACGAATGGAAGGAAAATGCTTGGCAAAAGTTCACCACGTTCGCATTGAACGTAAAAGTTACATTTACGTTTACGAGTTTTCTTTTTTCTTTCTTTCTTTCTTTTATTTCCATCAGATGATACGTAATTATGATACTCTACGAAATCGCAGGAAAAATATAAGAATATTCGAAGAATATTAGCCACCTCGTATGAATTCAGATCCCATTGAATATGCGCGCGCACGCGCTTATGTGCGTGTGGCTTACAAATAATACGAGCATTGCCGGAGAATATGTGATATAGAAGTTTGTAGTACTTCTATGTGTATGTATGTATATATATACCTATATATATATATATATATATGGAGACTAATACACATATACGCAGGTATCTTTCTACGATGCACATATCTGATACTCGATTTCATGGTATGGTAGGTGGTATTTACCATATATGCTTGTGTATCGCGCGTGTGGTATGTAGTATGTCAATATCATGCTGCACTGCCGAAAATATGCACAGGATACGTGTGTAAGTAGAATGTACATGTATACATATACTGTCTAGCTAAACACAATAAGCGAGAGTATGCGATCCGT